AGTATTTTGATTAATTTCTTGAAATAGTAAAAAACTGAATAGTGACATATATTTGTATCAACCCCTGTAATATCTGATTTCCCTACACAAAATTACATGTTTCAAGAAATCCTGTAATTAGTTAAATGATTCTTCCAGTGTAACTGTGTATTAGCATTAACGTACCTGTTCTGCAAAGGTCTCAGAGGTTGTTTAGAATAATTAGTGAACAATCAGTAACATTAAAACCATAATAACTCAGGAAAGGTCAAGAAAAAGGTTGTGGAAAAGTGTAAAGCAGAGTCTACTTAACTACAATAGGCTATATTCACACAGCTGACCCAAATGAACTTATAACATTTATATTAACTTAACAATCTGAAAACAGCATTTATTCAGTACATATATAGAATACCTGTTTTTGTTTTCCATGTACTGCTTTGTATTTGAGCTATATAAAACCTCTAATATCTTCCAGTTAGATATAGCCACTTTATGCTTAGCACGCACAAACCACATAAACACATTCACTATGAGAGCTTCTTGGTAACAAATAATTACTTCAACATATGTCCTTTTACACACCTGGAAGTTACTGGAATATGTGAAATAAATTAGGTCCAAAAGCAGGATCTAAATTACGGTTGTCATGCTGTAAGCTGTCCACTCAACATCACTTCTGGAAAATCCCAGACTAACCCTTTCATTTTGATAACACCCGGTAGTTCTGGTTCAGTAGAGTCCATTTGCTTTGTGACATGGCATGATTAGTGCTTGTGTCAGGTACAATGTTTTAATTAAATTTCAGTTATGAAACATGACAATACAACAGGGTAAAAGAATGATATTAGTCAGAGCATAAAACAAAAAATAGGACATTCTATTGGTTTCTTTACAATATACTGTATGCATTAGATGAAAGCAGCGGCCATGTTTTTGAACACAAAGCCACAAAGGGATCCATTTTGTTGATAAAGCATATTCATTTGTGTTTCTGTTTGAAAGGTAGGAGAGATAAGCAGACTGAAGACAATAAAGATAAAGAGAAGTACAAAAAAGGAAGAAATACGAAGACAGGCTGTTAGATAAAATGAAATACAGAAGCAGATAACTGGAGTGACTGACAGCAGAGCCACCTAGATGATAAGATAAAATGGGCAGGGTACGGTCAGGATTATTACAGAATCATAAAACTGTGCTGATCAAAGCTTTTCTGACAGGACCAAGCAGTAAACAGCATTCTTTTAAGTGAGTCATGACTGACTTGTCTTTTATGTATTAAGAGCTAGTAAATGTAAGGGTTAGGCATCATTTGAAATTTAACAATTTTGGTTCAGATTCTGTTTCCTTATTTTCAATTAAGTTCCTATCAATCCTTGAATTCTTCTAAGAGGAAGAATAAAAGTTTTAATGTTTTAAATTAGCTGGCTAACTACAGTTCTGGCTGAATTAAATAGTCTCAACTTGTCAAGCAAATGTAATTCATTGGACTTTTAACTTTGTGTAAACATTACTACAGTATAAATGATCCCATGTTAATTTCAACTAGTATATAAATGTCAAACCTATGAACTTCAGTTAAATCTTCTGAATTCCTTCACTCTTACTCTGTTCTTCTGCTAGGATAAATTTTGGAGCTGGAGGAAAAAGCAGCATAACAAGCGTGATAAGGAAGGTATTCCTACAGGATAGCCCAAGCATTGCTAACTTTAACTCAGTTCAACTCAACATGGTGTGGAAGTAGTAATGTTTTACTTTTGTTGAATGAGGAACTTTGAGATTTTACACTCATTCGCTCAGAAAGTACAGTAGGTTATTAGTCTCTCAGATCTATGTTAAAGAGATTTCTTATGCTATCAAGAATGCGTAAGAAACAATATGGTATCTGTTAGAAATAATATAATAGGAAGAAAGGATACAAAAGGCTCCACACTCCCTCCAGAAGGTGTACTATGAATGCAGGAAATATGGGAACCTTCATTTTAGCCATGCTCTGGGCTTTGCTGAAGATAATCTCATCCCACCTGTTACATACAGCCAAGTTGTAATGTCTTTGAATATTTTTATATCACACTTTTGATTTTCTGCTGCCCAAACAGATGGTTTTGCACCCACTCCTGGAAATTCTTCTCTGCTGTGATTCAAGGGCTTCTGCTTCAGGTCGGCAGACTGATTATCAAAATTATCCAAAATAAAATCTGTAATAATTGAAGTTACAGCCACTGCCAATCATTCATTCAATAAACAATCATCAATTTTATATTGCAGTGGTTCCCAGTATTAGGAGTAACAACACTACATAATGATAGCATTAGTTACTAGGTTATCTTTTCACAAAAAAAAGAAAAAAAAAACTCTAAATAATTACTCTTCACATATTTGTAATGCCGTTACGTTACTTGTAAACTAATGCAGCTTGTTTCTTCGACTCAATCAACTAAATTGACTTTTTCTAAATGCACTATGCTGTGGAAGAGGTTTTTACTGCAGGGACATAGCAGGGAGCTGAGATAGGCATATGTGATGCCGATTGGCTGAGGAGCCTCAATGTGAGCAGATGTTCAGCATGCCATGAACATTGACTCAGAGGACAAACAATTGTCCAGCGCCATTTAGGACAGTGTCCCTAAAGAAACTCACTTATATCTAAGGTCAACTGTTTCTGTAATTTGCCCATTAGCGGGAACAATGACTTAATATACGTTGGTTAGAATTATCTTTAATCTAAAGAAACTCCTCACATCAGTTTATCACTGACTAAAAGCAGGCTGCCAACATGGTGCATGTTACATTGTGTTATTCAATTGAAAAGTGTACTATTTTTTTAGACAAAAATACTGTTGTTTTTTTTATTGGAACAGTGTGACCGCTGTTTAAATCAATGGCAAAGTATTCTTAGTTTTTTCATAAATTACTTTAAAGCATTATTTTTCCATTTTATACCGATTTTATAGTCAGGTAACCCACACAAAGGGCTAAAATATAGAGTCTTAAAGGTTCTAATCTGTTTTTTTTGGCCTTTTATGACTAACATAATCAATCTACATAATAATATCACAACTGAATTGTCCAATCACAGATATTTAAATCATGCAAATTGGCATGCAATGTTTTCAGCCTTGTTAATTTTTCTATTAATTAATTTAAAAAATCTTATACATGTATTTCATAACTGAATTTCCAGTTAAATTCAAAGTTCTGTTAACAGGAAAGTTACTTTCACTAGTAATTAGTTACTTTGTGCAGTAGCTGAATTACTAACATATGTACTGTTTTGAAGAAGTAACTAGTAACCATGACTTGTCTTTTTTAAAATAACATTTGCAATACTTGTCACACTGGGCCCTTCTTTAGTCTTTAGTTTATATTTCTTATTAAAACTTCATGTGTGATATACATTTGTATTTAGTACTTAGTTATGATTTAGAGAGTATGTAAAAGAAAAAAAATGAGAATAAAAGTTGCTTCTCTAGGTTCTTTCAAAAATGTTTCAAGTGTCACTAGCTGCTCTTTATATTCCTCATATCCTAACTTTTCTCCATATGCTGCTTCTAAATTGTGAAATTAGTCAGCCTCACAGCTGAATAGACAGCAAATGATTAAGTGCTGTTTTATTGCACAACATTTTAACAACTGTATAGCATAGCTATAAAAATAATGATAAGAGCTGTTAATTCATTAGGGTGCTGACAGAACCAGTGACACTTGATTGTTTGGTATTGCCACCAGTACCACCAGAATCAGCCACCAGAATAGTTTAAACATCCCTAATTCTGGTAAAAGTCTTTTTTCAATCAAGCTGAGTGAGTTTTTTTTTTTTAGTTTTTTTCTTAAAAACTTAAAAAGTTAATTATGCTGACATCTTTGACCCTTTGAGTAAATATGGGAGTAGTAACTGTGCCAGTCTTCTTCGCAAGACTTTACACTGGCCCAGTCCAGGTCAGTTTGCACAGGGATTAAATGGAAATCTGCTTGTTTTCAAAGGGAAAACAAAGGGCAATGTTCGTTTCGTTTGTATCTGATAACCTTGGCTCATTTTTTAAAGTGCTACAGTATGCAAAACGTACTAAAGCACAGTGTCTGCAATTAATATATCCTAACAATAGTTTTTTTTTTATTTTTTATTATGTTCTCTGAAGACAATTTTCTGTTGTAAAATCATGTTACACAATATAGGCCTTGCTGAAGGCTAACTGGTTTTGATGATTTAAAGTGTTTGCCTCTCATCGATTAGTGCTAAATCAAATATCAACAGGATTACTCACATTTGCTAACACACATTTGATAACTGAACTGACTATAGTTTGCCTCATCACTCCTTTTCTTTCAAACTTATTGTGCATTGTTTGGCAAAGCTTTCAAATTCTCCCTGTTTTAAGAGAAAATGATACTTAAAGCAACCTAAATAAGAGTTTGCACTGAAAAAAGTCATTTCATTTGACATTTTAAATATAAAGTCACTTTCATTAATGTCTTTGAGGCATTCTTTCTTTTTCTTGGAAAGGAAACAAAACTCTGGTAGCAAATTTAAATACTGGATGCTGCAGTGATGAGATACATAATATTTTACGCTGGATTAGACCCTGATCCACAGTTAATCCCCTGGGAAAGGTAAATAGCTAAATGTCAGCTAGTATCCTGTTAAACATGCAAATTACAGCAGCTCTTATATGTGTTCAGTTTAACACATCTGTGTTTCCATTTTTTTTTTAACGGTACTTATTCAGCTTATATTGTTTAAGTTGACATAAAACATAGTTCCAACTGAATTGCACATGGCAATAATTAAGTATATATATATATATATATATAATTTCTATTTCAGTGTGAGGATCAAAAATAAGAATAATAAGTTAAAAAACACACTTAGCAATGCATAATCGAAACTTCAAGAAAATATAATTTGATTACTGTTGTGCCATCACTAAGTGATTTAGCAATCAAAAGTATTTAACAATGTTTTTTTTTTAAATAACTCAATCAATAATGAGATCTATTCTTTTTTTCTCTTTCTGTTGTAGACAAAGAAACTTTCTCTTAGAGGGACTACTGCCTGATCCGTCCTATCAAGACGTATCATCATTAAGGGCCATGAGCTGCTGCTGGGGATACAGCCTTCAAAATCTTTTGACATGGAACACCTAAAATGGAAACACAACTAACTTCAATACTTCAGTTTAAGCGTTAATTATCAAGAAGACATCCTCCTCTGCCGTTTAAATTTTTCTTAGCCTGGCCTTCTTGCCCCTATCTGCACCCCTTCCCATTTCAAATTTGAACTACTGCTCTCTTCCTTTCCCCTGTCAGCTCCAATATCCCCCCTCTCCATTCACCTAAGGTGACATCCAACGCTCTGAATTCAAACCATGGCTGCTAGACAACGTTTGTCCTTCCTGTTTCCATCCCTGCATCTTTCCCTCCTCCTTCCTGCACTGTTGCTCCTACGCCTGCCTGTTATGGTGAAAGGGGACTGCTGGCTGATAGAGGGGGATAAAGGTTACGTTTGGTTGGCTATCTGCAGTCAGAACCAACCTCCGTTTGAGACCATTCCCCCGCACGTCAACAGCACGGTTAGTACGAGGTTATCAGTGAACTTCTTACACCTGCAGCCATCCACAATAAACAATATATGTACATGAGTACAATTTATGATAGAGTGAGCTAGAAACTACTGTAGCTTCTAGTTACTTTGACAGTGGTGAAGTTTAATCTAAACATCTGCTTAACCTTATGTGGCAACTTGGAAATGTCACACCTTTAATGCATGCTTTTGAATTGGTCCTGAATTGTTTGGAAAATATGAAAAGTGTTTATTGCCAAAAAGCATGGTATAGAATTAAACTCACTAAGAAAAAACTAAGTGTAATTATATTGACTAGAATTAAATGATAAATAGTTGTGGTAATTAAAGGAATCATTTTCAACTCTATAAGTTAACATGTGGTTAGCTGATTCTCAAATGAAAGCAGCCAAGATTTTCAGGAAACTCAGATGAAAAGAATCCTTTAAATTAAAAAGGTTTTTCACATTTTCAAGAAAGGCAAGGACTGTTCTGTAACTCCTAGGGTGACAAAATATCAGTTGTTTGAGAAAAGGCTGTCTAAAGATAATATGCTGGTGAGTGTTTTAAGTGAATAACAGCACTATTACGTATATAGCTTGTAATAGAGATATAAAAGGTTCAGAATTTACTTTCATTAAAGAATTTTATTATTGGAAATAAAAACTGAATTTTTAAAGGACAAAGGTAACACACTGTATTAACAGTGTGCCTTTTCATACAATAGGGGGCTTAATATATTTGTTATATGCACTCTAATATCAACACTTTTAATTTTACAGTGTTTAGATGTATATTTTCTTCATTTTTATTGTTCTTTTGTGAAATCAAATGCACATTTTCCACTCAGGCATCAAACTGTTATCACACATGTCATATATAATGCTATATATCTTATGAAATTAGAGTGTGAAATTTTCCTTATTATCAAAATTCAAATCATCCTAATCTGGCAAGCATTTACAGTATGGGTGTAAATTGTCTTTCAACCGTTACCTGTAAACCAACATATTAACAAGAATTATTTTTACATTTTTAAGACATGTAACCTTAAAAAAGTCTGATTTATTTTTTGATAATTAAGTTAAAAAACTTCTGGTTTAGATTTTGAGTTGATCCTTACAAAATCTAGGACAACGCAGTCTATTTTTCAAATTTGCTTGAGATCATTGTGCTGCAATGTAGCTTTATATATTAGCTGAATAAAAGTATGTTTGTGTCTGTAAATATGATAATGATAAAACTTATATTTCTAAGGCATTTTTCTTGACACCCAAGGTCAACGTACTAATGTTAAAAATACGATGGCAGAAACAAAATCAAAACACAGAATAAAAACCATTTAAAAAATAAAAAGGCTAGGACAGGGAAGGTAAGGGAAGGAAACGGATGAGTTTTGACTTGTGATTTAAAATGGAGAAGTGATTGAGTTTTTCTATATAGGGAAATCCTAAACAGTGACAGTTTTATTTTCTTTAGAATATTGATTCTCATCCTGTTGAGTCACAAATTCTTCAGACTCCAATAGATGTCAATACATGTTTTTAGCATCTTGTACACCCCCCAAAAAATAATTCTAACCGTTTACTTTTAGAAAGAATCTTACAAAATGGATTTGTTAAGAAAATAAAAGTCATTTTAAAATATATGATTATAAATTTTTACCTTTTTGTGAATAGAAATTACCTCTGCTCAGGCTCTTTAGATGCATTTGAGTGCGTTTAATGAGCAACTGAAAAAAAATCCTGGTTTTAATTACAGTGAATGAAAAGAAATATAGTAATTTAGAAGACAAAATTCTACTTTTCTTTAAATATTTATTTATTTATTTATTTTTTTTTTACTTTCTATAGAGAAAGTTCATCTTTATTATTTTTTCTTGTTACCTTCAGGTTCATGACTTGAGGTTGAATGAGAACAAACTCAAAGCAGTGCTATTTACCTCCATGTACCGCTTCACAAACCTTACTGATCTCAACCTTACGAAGAATGAGATAAGCTACATTGAAGATGGAGCCTTTACTGGACAAGCTAACCTTCAGGTTGGTACAGTAGCAATAAATTCAACTTTGTTTTTCTGATTGTTTGTCTCAGTTTACTTAAAGTTTTTGATATTGAAAGTTGGCAAAAAACAGCTTTTATCATTTCATCTGAGTTTATATTATGCTTTTATTATGCTTTGGAGGCTGTTAGATGTAGAGAAAACTATGCAGTAAGCAGTGTTTTTCTAAGCAAATTAAACCTATACATTCTATATTAAAGCAAAAGTAACGTTTAGCCACTAGAGTCACTAGACCTATAACTTAAAATTTTTAGCACCCTTGATAGTAAGTGGCAACACTTCACTGTCACAAAGTTAAACTGTCACCCTCTGTGTTTTTGGAATCTGATAGCAGATCACTTTGGACCAGTAGCTTGAGAGATCATGAGGTTACATGTAAAGACAAGCTCACACTCACCACTTAAGATGAAATCCTAAATAAGCATAGTAAAAATATGTTTGGGGAACTTAGACTGTCTTAAAGCCACGCCGTTGGTCATATGACTCATTCACTGATGGATCCAACCCGCTCACGTTACTTCGACTGGTTTTGAGAAGGGCAGCCCTGGTCATCAGTACATGCCAAGTGCTGTATATGGACGTGAAAAAATATTCTATATATCTTAAAATAAGCTAATATTTGGGTTATAACATGCCAGATATTAGCCTGATAAACCAGACTAAATGGGAGATGAAAGGTGTTATTTAGTCGGGCCCAGATAAATGAGACATCGCAAGATTGTTGATGAGAACAATCTGTTGTTTTTCAAACCATGTCTGTGCCTATTGGCCAACACTCTAACCAATGAGTGCATCTGACTGTGACATAGGAAGCGCAACAGGAAGCTGGTGGGGCTGTGCAAACAAACAGCCTGTGGGTAAAACGGCGGATACATCCTTCCTAAAAATGAATGAGCGTAGAGCCTCTTCCTGCTTACGTTTCAAATAAACCCCCAAGTCTAATCCTTCCAAAACTGATTCCAAAGCTGAGTAAAAAATCGGCAGCGGTCATTTACACACGGCTATGCCGAGAGAGGGCCGCAGCAGACGGGCTGCCATTAGCCTGGCTGCCATTAGCCTCAGGGCTCCGCTGATGGCCACGGTCCTCTTAACTTCGGAATTTCTTTTTATAGTTGCGCATTAAATCAGTAAATGGACCATATAGTGAAGCTTTAAAGTAGAATATTCTTGCCTCAAAATTTACTTTTATTGAATAACAGCAACAGAAAGAAAACTTTTAACTTTCAATGGAGCGCTCTAATGAAAGCTGCTGCTGCCGAAGTGCATGCTAGTATTGTCCTTTCTCCAGCGTCGTGCAGCGATGTCATCATGCCCTCAAACCCCGCCCACTTTGCATTCAGACATTCAAAACACATCTCTGCATTGTGAGTGGCCTACCAGATTTAGGGCCTGGAGCATTGATCGAGGCTAGACTAACTCGCAGGCAAAAATGATTTTGGCTGCTGGCGGGTGCTAGTTTACTAGGCTAGCCAGATGTACACACCTGTTACCATAAGCAAAAAAATACAAGAAAAAAAAACAAAGAAAAAAAAACACAAGGTAAAAGTGTCCAATTTATTTAATAATATAAGAGGTTGAAAATACATTAAAATCATATTGGTATTTATTGCATGGGCATAGTGTTGCACTTATAGCAACTATGTGTCATATTTTAAAACAGAGTGAGTTCTGAGACACACCAGAATCAGGGTTATTCTAATTTGAGCAGATGGGTGGCTTATGGAAAAATATAATCTTCAACCTTACCATAAATGTGCTCCTTGTTATGTCTGTAGCAAACAGTATACAAGAGAAGAAAGATCTCAGAATGACTTACCCCATTTTTAGCAGATAGCCAAGTGTTATTTACAGTTCATTTTGAAAGAATTAAATCCTTGAGTATGTTTTCTCATTATTTTATGAAATGTTTGAAGAACGTACTCTGTCTTTCCTTGTCAGGTTCTACAGCTGGGTTACAACAAACTGACCAATTTGACTGAGGGAATGTTGAGAGGCCTAGGGCGATTGCAGTGCCTCTTTTTACAGCACAACCTCATTGAGGTCATTGCCAACAATGCCTTCTGGGAGTGTCCTAACCTTAGCAGCCTGGATTTATCTTTAAATAAGTTGGCCCGTCTTGACCCATCTACCTTTACTGTCCTCAACAGGCTAATGGTTTGTGAGCTTGCAGGAAACCCATTCCATTGTGGCTGTGAGCTCTACAATTTTTTGACATGGCTAGAGGAGTTCAACAATGTAACCCACACTTATGACCGCCTCCAATGTGAAACTCCAACAGAACTGACAGGTTACCCACTCCTGGGTCCAGTCCCTGGGCATGGAAGAAATGCCCGGTACATCCTTTTATCTGTCTGTCGTGATGGCGTAATTATTCCCGGAATGACCTCCCAGATGCCAGATCCAGATGGGTCAGGAATGGATTTAGACGGTTCCGATCTGGGTCTATACCCTCAGCCAACCACAACATCTACAGCTGATCCCAACTATGTTTCTCAGATTTCCATTAAACTTGAATCGGTCTCCCTGTCCACTGCATCACTGTTTGTGCAGATTCCAAAGCCATATAGTAAGATGTTCATCCTTTCCCAATATAATGATACCTTCCCTACAGACATAATGCCCCTTACAAAGAAAAAGGAGAAGATTCCTATAGATAAGCTGAAACCACACACTAATTACACTTACTGTGTGGCTTCTGCAAGTAAATTGCAACGCTACAATCATACTTGCCTGTCTTTCACTACAAGAGCTATTGGCCCAGAGGACCTCCGTTCCAATCCTTCTACAACTACTCACTACATTATGACCATCTTGGGATGTCTCTTTGGTATGGTGATTGTGCTTGGACTTGTCTACTACTGCCTCAGGAGGCGACGCATCCAAGAAGAAAAGGAAAAGGCTATAAGCGTGAAAAAAACAATCCTGGAGATGAGGTGGGGGAATTTATTTTTAATATGTAGATCAGGGGTGCTCAAGTCCAGTCCTCAAGAGCTACCATCCTGTTACTCTTAGATACATCTCTTCTCTAACCAGCTTAATCAAAACGCTCAATCCCCTCATGTAGCTCAGCAGAGGCATGGTAACAAGCCACTCATTTGATTCAGGTGTGTTAAAAAAGTTGCAGGAGCTCTTGAGGACTGGACTTGAGCACCCCTGATTTAGATAATTCTAGTTTTTTGGGGCTACATACCTTTTTTGTTTTGTTTGATTTTTTTAAATTTTGGTTCTAAAAATAATTAACATCTTGATAATAAGTTAGGGTCCAAGGGCAACTTGTTTTTTGTCTTTTTTTTCATTAAGTAAAACTAAACAAGTCTTGAACTATTACTTGGGGTAGTGGCGGCCTAGTAGTTAGGGCATAGAGCTTGGAATCCTGTGCTTGGAATCCACTCCCACAGCCTGCCACTCTGGGTCTCTGAGTCAGACCCTTAACCCCACACTGCTCCCTGGGTGCCCCAAGATTGCAGCCCGCTGCACCCCAAGGGGATGGGTTAAATGCAGGCACTTTCAATGGGAGTGGTGGCCTTGTGGTTAAGGCATTGCGCTTGGAATTCAGAAATTTCTCCAATGTGAGATCAATAAATTTCAGTTATAATTATAGTGAATTTTCCAAACATATAAGGCTTAAGGCCATATTATTTTGCCTGATTTCTTACAGCTTCCATTAAAAGGGAGACAATGTTTATGTCATTGTATTTTACTAAAATGCAAAAAAATAAATAAATAAATAAAATGCATTTCTAAAGCAAATATTTGCTTCTTTAGGTATGGCTCTGAAGCAGCTGCAGCTGTTGCCAATGACCCAGGTGCTATCCAGCGTCTTCAGGAGCAGTCCCACCACCACCATTCAGGAGGAGCTGGAGGCAAGCCTCCACCATCAACTTCTTCTAGCACAGGGATGCTGCATGGATCAGCAAACACAAGTTCTTCTCGCCTAACTTTGCCCCAGGGGGAAAAAATGGCCTCTGCCTTCTCTGAAGCAACATGCAGCAAGAGTAACTACATGGATGTTAGGACAACAGGAATCGCTGGCGACAGCAGAGATGGCGTAGTGATTGCTGGGGGAATTGGAGGAGAAGTAGTTGTTGATATGCGTGGTGTAGCTGAAAATGGAACAGGGGCTGGGGAAGATTCGGATGACGATGGTCACGGCTCAGCATCAGAAATTTCCACTATCGCTAAAGAGGTGGACAAAGTGAATCAGATCATCAACAATTGTATTGATGCCCTTAAGCTGGATGCCTCTGCCAATACTGTGACGACAGCTGATGATGGTAACTCTCTGTCTTCCTCCCAGCCTCCTTGCATGGCCCCCCTTCCCCGCAATCTTTTGCCTCTCTCTACTGCATCTACTGGAGATCAGATCATGGCCTCTTCTCCAAAGGTACACCCAAAGTCTCAGCCACACCCTCATCCTCAGCCACAACCTCAGTCCCATCCTCAGCCTCACCCACAGCTACATCAGCAGCCGCATCCCCCTTCAATGGCCCCGGTTCCCCTAGTCATGCCTCTGTCGGAGCGGCCTGGCATCAGTGGAGGTGGGTTTCTTTCCCCTCCTTACCGTGACCCACCCCCAGCTAATGCAGTACGGCCCCTTCAGAGGCAGCACAGTGCTGACACTGCTGTAGTAAAGAACCGTTGTGGTGCTCCTGCTGCTGTACCTGTCAAGAATACAAGAGTGTACAATGTAGAAGTACCGGAACAGCGAAATGACCCACCCAAGTATCCAACAGAGAAGGGGAATCCTGCTGTTTGTGGTGGGATGGGTGGAAATGGGGGACCTGGTGGTGTAGGAGGATGTGGTGGAAATGGAAAGGGAAATATAAATGGTGGTGGAGTGAGTTTAAATGGTGGTGGTATAGGGTGCAATAATGGGAATGGAAGTGGATGCGGGGCCTCTGGGCCTGGACAGCAGCAGCATCACTTGGAGGTTCAGCCAGACTACCACAGCTCAGAGCACCGACACTCCTTTCCTGCACTCTACTATGAGGATAGCAATGACTCACCATTACCTGCCCAAAAGGCCTCATTCCTAAAGCCACTGGGGCGCACAAAGAGGGATGCAACAGCTACCTACTCCCAGCTCTCTCCTTCTCGTCACCATAGTTACAACTCTGGGTACTCCTCAAGTCCAGAGTACACATCTGAGAGCACTCTACGCATCTGGGAGCGTTTTCGACCATACAAAAAAAACCCACGTGAGGAGGCCTCCTACATAGCAGCAGGACATGCCTTACGTAAGAAGGTGCAGTTTGCCAAGGATGAGGATCTTCATGATATTTTGGATTATTGGAAGGGTGTTTCTGCCCAGCAAAAGATGTGAGTTGAAAAAAAAACTCTAATATTTCTTGAGAGATTTTAAGTTGAAGAGCAACAGCAGACTAATGCTGGGGTGGGATAAAGCCTTCTGCAGCGGGGTCTTGTGACTTGGGTTTTCATCCAAAAGACCCAGAGTTGACATATCTGTAGGTGATTTTTTTTAAAACATGTATTTGGTGACAGTACATAGACATTTTTAATGGTTGCACACGAGGCTGGTGTTTGTCACCACAACACTCAGTAATCTGGTCACCTGATGACCTCATGCTGGGCACTTTGGTCCTTGCAGGCTTTAAAGACATGTAAGTCCATTCTAATCAGCAAAGTTAAAGTGGTGATACACATCTTCTACCTCATTACTGGTACAATGTAGCTCAACTATCTTAGTAGAAGCAGCGTCATTATTACTTGAGCCCTTTTTTTCCTAATTCCTTCAAATATTGATTTAAAGGACAGCAATTCAGCTGCACTACTTCTACGTGGGCTGCTATGAAAAGATAAATTAGAGTGGTAGAAGTTTTTTTTGTAAAAGGTCTTTTTGTATACACGCCTTTGGGGAGAAACATTAAATCATACTTATCATTATCATCCTTATTGTTCTCCCTGGCAATTAGCCAGTGTAACAGCAGGTCAGGGATACTGTTTGTTGAGCAAAATGTTATTGATGTTAAACACCCAATGGCACATTTTCAGTGGCGTCTGTACATACGGGCTGTGGGTTTTAATGTGCAAAATCCCCTTTTAATTGCTGAGGGAAGTGGGAGCTGAGTCATTATTTATCTCATGCTCAGTATAAGAGCAAAAGAGTTTGATAATAGACACGAGGAATCAACCTGGAAAAGGTTGTGTGAACTTCAGAAAGATTAGAGTTTTGCTCATTTTGAATTTTTAGATGTTGTGAGCAAATAGTCTAAAAAAATGTACAGGCATTTTGCCTCATTTCCTTGTTTACATTTACATTTCAATAGGCTGAGTCATACTAAAATTACTTTACGGTAAGCTGTGTGAGCAGAAAGTGCAGGTGTAAGCTTGTGTGCTAAATAGCCAAGTAATCACATTTTAGAAAAGAAGCAGATTGAGAGCAGGTTAAAGGTTTCCTGTGAACATCCTACTGCTAAAGGGATGTGAAAAAAGGTCTAACGGTTTTCTTGCTGTGGCTGTATTATATCAAGGCCAGCCTGCACCAAAATGCTCTCTGCAATACACAGTAAATGTTGGTTAAATAACTGATTTAAGGGTTACTTTTTCTGATTTAAGCTGAATGAAGTTTGAAGAAGAAAAAAAAGTCCACCTGTGTTTGGCAATTCTGACAAATTGGTAGCTTGCTTCGGACCAAAGTGCCCTTAGGAGGTAAGGTTTTAATTATTTATTTCATAACATTTGATCAGATACTGTATACACACACACACACACCAACAAACCCACACACGTGTTTAAGAAAAAGAGGAGCAAGGATTGAATTCCACTTTAAAGTCAGTTTTAACACAAGTGTCTAAATTTAAGAAAATTGGAGACCAACTTACCTGGTATGACTACAATGACATAATCAGTGTCAGTTCCTGACCAAATTTATAGTACCAGGACTGTAGCAAGCAAACAGAAAAGTTTGGAGAAAAAAAGAGAAAAAATCAAGGGACCAATCCTTTGAGTTTCTGTCCCGGTGCATGTCATCATAAGAATTTCATTTAACATTATATTTTCACATCAGGGGCCATAACATAAGCATCACCACCATAAATTATACAATTTTAATCTCACACTACCCTATGTTGTTTACACCAAAAATGATTCACCCATTCTCTGTTGCCATGTTAGGAATTTTATCACTATATTTAGCAACATTTCAGAACCCTTAAGTTACTTTTTTTTTACCAAAAATGTGGCATTTTTTTTCCCGTGCTGTTGGGAGTCTTTGGTGACAACATGAAAGCACTGATTGCTCTAAGTTTACTGTGAGTGACTGACTGACTGAGCCCCTCCTTCCTTCAAAACACTGGCAGGGAGGTCAGACTAGTCCAGAGAAACAACTGTTTTCTGTGGTTTAGGAGACTTTGGTGATGACTTGAAGGCACTAATTGCTCTGACTTTACTGTCTTCACCAAACAGAACAGTGATTGTTGCTGAAAGCTCCTCCAAAACATTCATAGGTAGTCAGAGTCAGCAGCAAGCCATACCTGCAGTCTGGGGGAGAAGAGCGACTCCCCTCTGTTTTCCCGTTGAAAATGAGTCACACATGCAAGTTTACACTGCTTTTGCCCTTTCTAAAGTGGAATATAAATATATATTGAAAACATTGTTTTTTGTTCTTTAGAAACCGTTACACTAATATAGATCCCTGCCAGCATTTGATTCATACACAACTTCATCTACTTTGTTTGCCTCCAGCTGTCTTGAAGTTGAATTTGATAAAACTAGTTGTTGAACTTATTCATAGTGTTGCACTGGGGGCAACATTTCAGCAAGCGACTTAAATTGATATTAATATTGAAAGGAATCCAAAGGTTTTAAATAATTTTGGATTTAATCAGCCAACAAGTAAAAAAAAAACTGAGGGAGAAGATGAGATTTAGTTTTTGGGCAACAGTACAAATTCTAAAGCTTACACTTTTTAGGCATTAATCTTGTACTTAAGGGTTGGAGCAATGGAAATTAATGCACTAAAAGAACAAGTAAATTGATAAATGCATTAAACATTAAACACAATTATGGGAGGCTTTTTCAAAATAATTCCTTATCTTTTTACTGTGCAACTTCTGAGCCGGCAGAAACCAACTGATTGTTCATCAATTGTTCCTGTTATCAGTCAATATTTTGCTTTCTGGGCCCTAATGTGATTTATATAGAACTAAGATCATTCTCTATCATCAGTTGCAAACTAAGAGAAGCGTTAGCATTCACAAAGGCATTGTTGTCAGTCTCACATCAGATCAATACAACACACAGAGCTACTGTAATCACTGTTGGCTTTAAGTCACACTTTCTATGGTTTTAGGACCAATGCGCCATATTTAACTTATCTTCACATTCTGCAGGGAGCTTACTTTGCATTAGGTGCAAGGGATGACTACTCAATTAGTTTTAAATTAATACCATGGGCTTTCCAGTGTGGGAACCTTTTTAAAAGTAATTGCCATATCTCAAAGACAGCAAAGAGACACAATAGATTTACCTTCACTGTTATTGTTTGTTAGATATTTTTTATCACCTTAGCATTTTATATGGATTTCTAAGTACAGAAATGCAATCCACTAAATACTGTATGTGCATCTTGTTCTGTCTTAATTTATTTAATTTTTCTTTATCCTTTTTATATTATTCTTGGTAGAAAACTAAGCTCTTAATTTATGTATTTTCATCTACTTTTTCCAGTGAGGTACAGTAGCTATAGCAAGTCATTACATATTGCAAACAGATGCTGGATACCCTTTCTGCTTCCACCACTTTTTGAGCTAAGAATCCCATTTTAAACACTTACCCCACTGCATCAGGGATGGACTTGGCCAGGTCTGGAATAATAATACGGTATCCAATCCAATTTGACAGACCATCAGCGGTGATCAAGTCTTGCTCCTCTTTATTGCCCCAAACGTATTTATTTTAGGATTTCAGGTAACGCTAAAGTTTGTTATTTATGTCATCTCTAAGATTAAAAGGGTGTTTGCCTTTCTGCCCCAAAGGACCAGATACCAGAAGCCAATCCTAACAAGTGTGTACTGTACCGATTAGATTGTCCACGTACAATTTTTCTTTTCTTCAATGAATTAATGCAAAGGATTTACTGTTAGTCTTACAGCTCCAGAGGTTAAATTGGAAAGCAAGTGACTGAACTGGTTTGGCTCGAGGTGGTCTGTTTGGGAATAAGTCAAATCCTCTTTGCACGCCGCTGTGAAATCTAATTATATTCTGGAAACTGACAGGTTACTTGTTTGTTTTTCGAGAAACATGTAAACTATTCTCTTGAATGGATTTTTGATAAGTATGAAGATTATAGTCACTGTGATCAAAATAATACATATGGATGGTAACATTTGTGGTATTATACTATTGTAATATAGTTTTTATAAATCTTAAACAAATCCATTGGGTTATTACAGTGATTGAAACACTGTTACAAGTTGTCTTGGCTATTTATTGCTGCAAAGTTTAGTTTTTTCTTTTAGGTTTTTAATATTTTTTAGGCTCAGGTTTACTAAAAATAAATCAACAGTCAACAGAAAATCGTTTAACGGTCCTTCAACCTACGTCCCACTAGAGTTGCTCCAAATGCAAACTTCAGTCAGAGGAACTGAAGACTTCCAAAGCCTTACAGGAAATTATTACATCTCTTTTGTTACTTTTCAATTATATCACTGTAACAATGCCACAAATATTTCACTGGAAACCATAGACTCTTATGTTTCAGACATTTTTAAAAGATAACTTCTCACTTAACACGTCAATGCCAAGATACCCCTCTGCCCAATGCTACAGATAAGAATTGTGTTTAACATTAATAGATGAATGCATCCCAAGAACTTTTGGTGCAAAGAGGCCACTTTTGACACCAGTATATAGATTATTAGTCAGGGCAGATGTTTAGCCATGTAGTTTTTTCTTCCAACAGACCTTATTCAGTGGTTACCCCCTTTACTTTTTGGACAAATATTTGATTTATTTTGAAAACATTAATATCAGTTAATAAAAAACAAATAAAACATCCTACATCCAAGACGTCTTAGAGAATGCAGTTCAATGCAATTTTAGGATCTACTGATAAAGTGAAAAATTGTTAGACAACCCTGCTTCCCGCTAAAAACAGAAAGTAACTGAAACTATTCACATGCTCCCTTTCAATTTAGTTGTCAATATTTGTTACAGCAGGGAAAATCAATTCAAAGAGTTAAAGTATTTAACTCACCGCAAATTTGTGAATAATATATTCCCAGTGATGAATTTGCCCAACGTTTACTCTGTTTTGCATTTAAATTTTAAACCTTGTATAATGTTATGTACATGTGTAATACTTCTTTAGTGTGCTATTTAGTTGTATAACACAAAACACATTTGATTTGTCAACTTATTTGATTTCATTTTATTTTAAATTTAAATTACTTGGTTAGTCATCAACTTTGGGCTCTTTTTTTATCATTAGCCTTTTAACAGATGAAAAAATAGTTTCTATTTAATCTAAATTATTTGACTGCTTTATTCCATACATTGGTTACTTGGCTGAATTGTCGTTATAGGATTTTACGGATTTTGAAATCAGCAGTTTCTATATCTCATCCTTAGATATCTCAGCATATATAAGCTAGACTAAAACAACAATTCCAAACACACTTTTTGATGTATTCACTGTGAAAACCGAGTATTCTTTGGCTGTGTCTAAAGATATATCCTTTATGTTCTAATCTAACAGAAAGTTACCCACTCTTGACCCTTTTCTCTGCATGACTTAAGAAGTTTGAAATTACCGTGGCTCTTTTTTTTTCAGTGTGAAGAGGAAGCAAGACTGGGATTTTAATGCACACAGTGTAGAGAAATATGTCTGCTGTTAAGGTTAGGTCATCAGTTTGGTGATTAATTTGTTGTTTGGACTAACCTTTGTGACTTACATCTCAGCCTAATGAGAACAGCTGAGAGTGAAAGTAACTCAAACAAATGCAGAGGAGTTTCTACCGGTGGGCAACTGTGACAAAAACAAACTCTTACACAAATACACAAATTCTAATGTAGAGAAATGATGAATATACTGTCTGTGTTTGAATAGTTTAGAATTACACTTTATGGACATGAAATGTAATAACATACAAAATATATACATTTTCATATTATACACACAAACAACGTTTGTACACACAAACATGAACATGCCACTTTATCAAAGTTGCACATCATATGAACTAAATACTTCAATCAACGTTTACAGACGCAAATAGTCTTAAAAGTGCCAAAAACGGCAAGTTTAATGTGAAGGTGCAAATAGAACCAAACAGCTGTAGAAAATAATATATTTTTTTTAAAGGCCAAGAAGTCTAAGTGTCAAAGTCTTGTTTCTGTGTTTTGAACTAATGCTTATGTATTTCTTTTCTAACAAATGTTCATTTTATTTCTATCATGTACTGTTACAACGGAAGGAATGAAGTACTTTAAAACGGCACATTTGCAGTTGTCAAGGTTCCCTCTGGTCTGTCTTTTCACACCTACAAATAAATTACCCCACCAAAATAGATTCGCAGATACATTGAAAGCACAATTCACGGAATCTCTTTAAGTACACATTTATGTAAATGTATTGAATTTAGCTTTTGGTCAGTTTGTAACTCTAAGAACTTAGACAATTGTCTTAAGGACAGACTTAGGTCTTATTTTTTCACACTTTGGGATGCAAAAAGAAAGTCGAACTGTTAAAGTTAAGTCACCAAAGGATTTCAAAGTACCTTTCAAGTCCTACTTCAGGAAAAGAGAGGAAAAAGAATGATAAATACTGTAATGTCACAAAGCAATTTAGCCCCTTTAAGCAATGGAGAAACCTTCAAACATGTCTAAAAAACTTTTTTTCCCTCAGGTTTTTTTTTTTTTTAAGCATCAGTCTTTCACCCCACACTCTTGCACTTTTGATCTAATCTTAGAATGTAAAGTACTCATAGTCATACTCATACTCCTGCTTACATTTTTAAGTCAGGTCTGTAGGTCTGATAAAGTTTGTTAAAAAAAACCCATGTGTACCCAGTTGCTTCTTTTTACTCAGTGGACCTCATTTATCAGAAATTGCTATAGTCTTGCCCCTTAAATTATCTAACCTGAAAAGATGATTGTAGGGCAAGTTTAACTCGTGATTTATCAAACTGTGCATACTGGATACTGAGTAGTACCAACATACAAATGATTACATGTTGGTGCCTGGAAATGTTTATTTTCCCAGCACAGTCCTATTTATTGATTGATTTGATGACCTCAACCAGACAATTTGTGACACTGACATCAATTCAATTCTGTTTATTTCTATAGCGTCAATTCACAACACATGTTATCTCAAAGCACTTTACAGTTCACCAGATCATACAGTCAAATTGATTCAAAATTTGGTATCTAAGGAAAACCAGTTAATCTTATCATTGACTTGAATGCAATCCCTCACACTAAGCATGCTTGTAGCGACAGTGGAGAGGAAGAACAGGATGAAACCTCCAGCAGAACCAGGCTCAGTGTGAGCCATCTGCCGAGGCCGACTGGGGTTCAAGGAGACAGAAGTAGAGATACAAAAAGCAGCTGTAAAAGGTGGCACCGTCCAGGAAACACACAACCAGGCAGACAAGCTCTGAGCCAGCTCCCATGTCAGAGGATGAAGAGAGCACATCCAACCAGT